GCAGATCAGCCATGAGGTTTGACTGCACATCGCTCCCACTCCACCCGCCTCATCTGTGGAGACCTTGTCTCCCGGGAAACTGGTTTCTGAGGCCAGAAAGACTGGGGACCGCTGCTCTTGCCCATTAGCATAGTGTAAGTTGTGTGCAGACCGCCCTTACACTCAGCTCACCGGGGGCCAGACACTGAGGATATAGGAATACATGGTAAAAAGTTCATCGTCTCCTGAGGGAGCCAACTAGTTCACAGTGTAGCTTTATAGGAGTAAGCCCAAGGTATAGGAGTACCCAGAAAGCAGGGAATGGGAGGGTTCTAGTTTTCCAGAAAACACAGTGGCTTGTTTATAAAAGCACTTGAGACAGGATTAGGTAAAGTAATCTATGTGAAAAACAGTTAGCAATAGACTGCTTGACTTTGAATTGGGTCTTAACTACTTCCTGTGTTACCTTGGAGACATCCTTAGCCTCTCTGTGCCTTGGCTTCTTCATCTGCAAAATGGGTGCAACAATACAGTCTGTTTCAATATTGTGAGATTTTTGCACTCAAAACGTTGTTTTTATTATTTAGCTTTTTAAATTCTCCATTGTACAATCTAAATTGGTGAGCATTCAAATTCTTGTATCTCTGGAGGTAGAATTTTGACACACAATTGTTTTGTATTTATAAAATAGTTAAAACACGTTTGTGTGTTTATATTGCATTATAACCTGGTTATAGCAAATCAATCACTTAGGTTATATAGTTTGTTAAATATGCTTTATTTATTATTTTGCCTTTTAACCATAGATGTAGGAGTGCAGAAATAGCATGAATGTTAGGTAACCACTGGCCGGGTGCAGTGGCAGACGCCTGTAATGCCAGCACTTTGGGGGAAGGAGGTGAGAGGATTCCCTGAGCCCAGGGATTTGAGACCAGCCTGGGCAACTTGGTGAGACCTCCTCTGTACAATAAATCAAAAAAATTAGCCAGGCATGGTAGTGCATGACTATAGTCCCAGCTACTTGGAAGGCTGAGGCAGAAGGATTGCCTGAGCCCAGCAGGTTGAAGCTGTGGTCATGAATGTGGCACTGCACTCCAGCCTCGGCAACAGAATGAGACTCTGACTCAAAAAAAAAAATTAGGGGACCCCCAAACCAGAATTGGTTAACACTACAGTACTTGTGAAATCAGTAAAGTAGTTCAAGGATTGTGTCATGCCTTGAGGCTTTCATATGCTTTCATACACATACTGTCCTAGTCACTCAGTGATCCTGTGTGGAAGGCAAGAGTTGACTTGCTCTAAGCCTCTGTCTTCTCTTCTGTGAAACTGACGTCCACAACTCCACCAGGGTCACAGGACATACCTGTGAGACAGCTGGTGCTAGAACCCCTTCCTCTGATTTCTAATCCCATGTTCTTCTGTGGATCACAACAGAACTCTTATTGTGATAAAAGCTGTTATCCACAAGTCACTGGGAAGGATACCATTGTGGAGGCTAATTTTCTAAATAAGCAAAGGTATAGCTATCTAAACCTTCTTATTTAGTTTACTTTTTAAAATTTTAAATTATGGTGCAGTAGCCTGTTTCTGTGTCTCTTTAACCCAGGTGGCATACTCGTGGGCTGCCAGCATGCTTCCTTGCACTTACTGTGGACTTGTGGGAGTCTTCTGGTTCCCGAACACAGGGCTGCGAGGGCAGTGTGGCCTTCTGTCCTCAGGGGGTTAGAGGTGTAGGTACCTGTTGGCTGCTGCATTGAATGAGGCTTTTCCTATTTTTCCTGCTAACCCTTCCAGTCTCAAAACAATTCTGTCTCGATCCCAGTTTCTCATCTCTTCGTGAGAATCTGGTATTCTCATATTTTGTCACTCCTGATTTCTGAATATGGTTTTTTGTTTTGTATTAGCACATTGTTATTTATTAAGCAGTTGCACTAATATTGACCTTTATTTTTGCTTTTTTGGTTGAGATGGAGTCTCACTATTTTACTTAGGCTAGTCTTGAACTTCTGGGCTTAAGTGATCTCCCACCTTGGACTCCCAGAATACTAAGATTACAGGTGTGAGTCACCACACCTGACCTAAACATTTTGATTAATTCAACTTTTTGTGTTCATAAAGATCAACCTTTCAGTAAAGTCAGTGTTGAAAAAATATGGGAAAATGCTAGATGTTATAATATAGAAGGAACAGATCACCTGCCTGAAAGTTTAACACAGTTTGCCTTTTGCATCACTTCCTCAATTCTCCTAAGTGTCAGTTCTGTTCTTTGCCACCTGTCTCCTAAGGGGACCATAATTTGGCTATTCCACTTTATGTCTTTATACTTCTTTCTTAGTCATCTGCTTTTCCCTGTCTTCTTCAGTTTTCACTTTATAATTCTGTTTTTTTCTCTCTCTCACCACACACTTCTCTGTGATTTTTTTTTCTTCTTCTCTGATTCATATATTCTTTTGGTATACATTTATTTAGCACCTATTATGTGCTGGGCTCTGATAATGCAAAGGTAAATGGGAAAACCAGACAAGAAAGTGAGTGTAGTATGCTACAGGAAGCACAGGCTAGGTCAGATGCTTTGGGAGCCAAGTAGGGAGAGGGCGAAGTCTCCCTAGGAAACTTAAGAGATTTCTTCACAGAGAAGGTAACATCTGAGCACGTTCACTGGGGGAACAGTGAAAAGGAATTAACGGGCCAAGGAGCTGTACGAACCCACTGATGTGTTTGAAGAAATGAAAAGAGTGTAACCAGAGAATTTTGACCTAGAGATTCAGGGGAGGCAGGTGTGAAGTCTCCTGCCTTTGTACTGAAGAGAAGGCTGGGGCCAGTTGTCGAGGATCTGGTGTCGCCAGCGCTGAGGAGGTTGAGCCACTGAAGGGCTTCAGTACAGTGATAGCTGTGTGAGTAGCTGGCTCTGCCTGCCAGGTCTTGTTAGGATTGACAAGAAGAAAGATCAGAAGAAGGACACTCAGGAAACTTTTGTGATAACCTGGAGAGAGCTGGGAGAGCCGTACAGGTTGGAGGATAGAAAGAAGGGGGAAAAATTAGTAAATGTTTTAGAATCAGTTGGGCTTAGTGAGAAGAGAGAGAGGAGATTGTCAAGATTGTCCCTGGGCTTCTAGCGCAACAACTATGTCATTGGTGAGCTCAGAAACTAAAGTCAGGGCTCTGGAAGAAGTGAAGAATTAGTGAGGAAGATACTGTAAGAGATCTGTGGGATATCCAGTTAGAGTTTGCCCAAGAGGCAGTTGGAAATACGGCCAGGAACCAGAGCTGAAGATGTGATGACTTTAGGATTTAGATGATGGCTTTAAACTTAGACTGTCCAAGAAGAGTATATGTGGGAAACAAAGAAAAAACAATGGAGAATACAAGTATTAAAGGATGACTGACATTTTGCTGTAGTTGAATAGAGCACCAAACCAGAAGCACTTAAGACTCCCTGCATAATCAGCATTTGTATACCTAACCCTGAATTGTACCCCACATCTTTAAATTAGGTTTTTTTTTTTTTAAAGAGTCAGGTAGAGGAGGAGCCATCAGTGAGACTCAGGTGCAAAAAGTCCACCTTTCAGGAACTCATGGGAAGCAGGGTTTGGGGGGCAGGAACAAACAGGGAAGCTGCAGGGTCAGAGAGTATGGTGAAGTGACCTTTGGGGCTCACGAAGGTCAGTAAAAAATTGTGTATGTGGAATCTCTTCTGCTCTTTTTTTTCTTAACTTTATGTTATTACAAAGATGGGGGGTACAAGTCAGGATTAGGTACAAAAGTAATGTATATACAGATGAAATCTGAGCCTCCAACTGATCTGCACTTCCCCTGGTGTAGGCTCAGGTACTGTTTGTGTTGTTACATCCCTCCCCTCCACCCCCACAACCCCAAAGTGTCCCATGACTGCTATCTTCTGCTTTTTGAATGTCCTGTTGCTTCTCAGCTTTTGCATGAAAGAGTTGATATTGGTAAATATTAGCTAATCAAAGCATTTTTTTTCTTTCTAATTGGAAAATTAACTGAATGTGGGTGTAACTTTGAGTTTTCATTAGTCTTGTTTGCAGCTCAAAAGGCTTTCTCTTTTTTCCCTTCAAAGAACAGATAGAGGAACCAACCTAGAACATATTAGAAAGTTACTAACTAAAAGCTTTACTCTACCATGGGTTTGATTAGACTAAGGCCTTTAAATCTGAACTGTTAATATATACAACAGAGTTCACATATTGTGTACATTTAACCAACATGACTTCAAATGTAAATGTACTGAAAATAGAAAGCATGATGCAAATAGTGCATTTGATGATTCCGCCTGCCCCTGTACAAGGCTGGTGTAGGTGGAAAGAAGTCTGCTTTTCTCCGTCTGTTTCAACTCCAGAAATCTCTCATGGTATCACTAACTCTGCAAACATTATAAATCTGATATTTAAAGAAGTGTGTATGTATGTGTGTGCACACATAATAGAAACCCTAAACATATGTAAGCTACTTGACATGATGCTCAAAGAACTAGGAATCTGTTCCAGTGATAGAGGATGTAAGCTGTTTTAGATCCATTGTTTAGACCCATAGTCAAATCTGCTTCTAAATCTTCCTTAGAGCTTTTCAAGGGTTTTTTGTTTTGTTTGTTTTGTTTTTTACTATATACTCTCCCCCTCTACATGTACACTTTAGATCCTAGACTCACAGAAAGTGCAGCTTCCTAAGTAGATACTCATAAATGAAGTCAGCCTTCCTCTCTGTCATTCTTTAGAGTGAACATCAATACAAAATTTGGTAAAAAGACCACAAGTCCAGCTCAAAGCAAAGAGGACAGCGGTCAATTTGAAACCTTTTGGTATCCTGAGCTCTACTCCTGCAGAATAAGAATAGGAAGGTATAGGTGAAGTGAGGGTGCTGCAAGGCCGTTGAGGCCACCACAGACGTGCAGTATGCTGAAAAGAGGTGGGATCAAGCATCCACAGCCTTAGCTTCTCACCTCAATCTCCGGTTGTAACTGAGCAGAAAGTATTCAGTCTCAGTTGGCATACTTTCCTTATTGGGAGGAGATGATTGGAATAATTTGCTTCACAGGAATGGAGGTTCATGGGTGAATGGAAAGATCCAAGGAAAGGGAAGTTTTTCAGATTTGGTTGATGTTCTACTTTGCATAACTTGTATCATGTTGGTGAGTCTTCTTGTGGGAAATGGCATTATTTGGACACTTGCATAATCTCTGTGGCTGAAGGGAGCAGGTACACCAGTACCCATGTAGTTCACCCAGGATCGTTCCTGGACTAAAGCAGTGCCTGTTGGATGACCTGATTCCCTTTTGAGCACATATGTATCTATCTTATATATTCTTGATAGCTACTCTTTTTCTTTCCTTCATCTCCATCAGTCATGCTCCTGTGTCACCTGTGAGACCCAGGACTGGGCTCTTGAAAAATAGCTCTTAGTAATCCTTTCCTTCCATATTCCTGTGGCATTTTCAGTAGTTTATGCACACAGTGCAGTCATTTTCTTAACAGTATTTGTTTCATATGTGTGTGGTTCAATTCTAGGCACAGAATTATAGATTACATTTGTTTTAGTCTCTTTTTGTTTATATGTGTATTACCTATGGCTCCATCTAGCATGCATGTTCCTTGATAAATACTGTTCTTTTTGTTTTATGTCATTTCTTTTTCTGTAGAGCTTTCATTATTGAGGTTCCTCAGTGCTGAACTAACAAGAGGGTACTTCCTTGAACATAATGAGGCCAAGTATACAGAAAGAAGAGAAAGAGTATACACTTGTATGCGAATACCAAGAGAATTGGAAAAGGTAATTTTTTTTTCATTACCAGACATCATTTTGAAAGTTATGTCAAAGTGTTAATTATGCAAAAAAAATTGTGAACAGCTAGAGTTGAGGCTTTAAAATATTAAAAATAATTTAATAAGTAATTAAATGTATTGGAGAATATAAATTTTTCTTATAAGAAAAGGCCTTAAAAGTTACATCTTGGTGTAAAACCCAATGATAAAATAGTAATAGATTTTGTCAAAATCTTAACTTTGTTTATTAAACTTACCATATTTCCCTGTGTGCCACATTCAAATAACATTTTCTAAGGAATTAATATGCACTTCTGTACTGTTTTAATTTCATTTTGTTCTGTTTTATTAGAAGAAGGGTTTTTTCCCATTTAGCATGATAAACTATTTAATTTCAGCCTTTTAAGGTTTCAGTTTCTCAGAAAGCCTACGTATTTAAAAACAAATTAGTCTCTTCAAAGAAGGTGTTTTTTAAAACTTTCATCACCAAAAGCACGACATTATAGGTTGAGTGGCATAACAGCCGTACTAAATCTGCATATCTGCTTCCCTTGACTGTCTTACCCTACCAAGACCAATCAGATAGGACAGGACAGTGGCATTTTTTCCTCTAGGTGCTGTTAGGGTTGGTGAGTCTGAGCAATTCTGGAATTTCTTGCTAGAGGAAAAGAATTAAGAAGTAATTCAACTTTAGATTTAGCGATATTGAAACATATTTTCATACTTCTTAGTAATATAAAGCTTCTGCTAGTTTGATCGTTTCTGTAGAATCATACTTTCTATTGGAGTGACTGTCAGAAGAGTTAGATTGGCTCTATCAGTGTGTTGTAATAGCAGTAGATGTGGTAGGAATGAGAAATGAGGACCCAACGGGTCTGGCTGATGGTCTCTTATTTCTGGCAACTCATCAGTTTGGTGGAAGGAGAAGAGCCAAGTGTATGGAGACGGTTTCAGAAACATTGCTTTGCATAGGTTCTTGATGGGGTGTCACTTGTTGAAGTTTTAGGGGGTTCTGTATTAGCGTGAGATTTACAGAGCTGGTGAGCAAGCAAAGATTGGAGAGAGAACAAATACAGCAGTGATTTGTTTGCCTTTGATGAGGGCCACTATATGCTTAGTTCTTACTTGTATTGCTGCCTTTCTAGAGAGGACTAGGGTTCCTGGAGGAGCCTGGAGGAGTGACAGATGAGGAGGGAGGAGTGTGGGGGCTCTGTGTGACACACCTTCCCAGCACAGCAGCTGTTCTATCTTACGTGTTGGGATTTCGTAAAGATTTTCACTGGGGCAGGGAGTGAGGGAGAGAGATGTTTCTTCTACTTGGCAAAAAATACAAGATTAAACCAGTTGTGTCTTAAAACACCATTAGGTTGCTTGCTAAAGCTCAGTTGTTTCTTCCAGTGATAAGTCATGAGATGGAAGTGTGAGGACACGGTGCAGAAGCAGTGGGAGGGACCAACTCCTGGTGCCTGCATTTGAACAGGATGGTGCCAACAGTGCCAGCCACATTCGGTTTTTACCCATCTGGCCTTAGCCCTCTGCAGAGGAATTTGTTTCTCCCACTTGTCTGTGCAGATCTGAACTCCCATTTTCCTCCGAGGAGTGCACGGGGTTTTTCCCACAACCCACTGCCTGACTTTATGAACACAGCTAGGGGACTGCTTCAAAGTGGAATGTTGTCTGAGTGTCCCTTTATTACTTCTTGTGTGGCAGAACTAATGAGCACATATTCTGTTAGCAGAAGCGGGTTCATTGCACTTATCCTTTCCTCTTCTTTCTTTCCTTTAATGGCAACATTGAAATCACAAGCAATGTTTCTGGGTAAATTTCTTACAGAAACTTGTAAGCATTTCATGTTTGTTATTGTGAGTATAAATTGTCTTCCAGGGAAATTATCCTTGTACTTAGGTCTTGATAAAACTTAAGTATAACCAGTGTTTTTAAACTATGGTCCACTATGGGACCACTGATGGATCAAGTAATCAATATGGTAAGTTACCATCAGGGTTTTTTTTTGTTGTTGTTGTTTTAAGAAAGGAATAGAAAGACTATCAGAGAACATTGCATCTACCAAGAGTAGGTATTTCATGAAACTTTAGTTTCATTTGTATAAATGTAAATATATAACCTCAGAAAAATTGCATTAACACTGCCTATGTACAGTTATCAAAATTTTCTAATGATTTTTGTTTCCCATGAAAGAGACTTTTGGTCTTACGTCTGTTCTCTTATTTATAGCTTAAATGTACAAAAGAATGTCATAGTTTTCAGTTTAGAACAACCTCTTAACTTCTCAAACCTAGTGAAATGTCAAGGAAGACAGAATTAGGTTTGAATTTAATTCTAGGCTCAATATCTCTCATAACAGCATGGATTCAGTGGCTCAATCTCTCTCATGGCAGCATGGATTCAGTCTGATATCTTTAAGGCCTTTAATTTTTTTTTTTTTTTTGAGTTAGAGTCTCACTCTGTTGCCCAGGCTGGAGTGCAGTGCACACTCACGGCCCCGCAGTCTCGACCTGCTGGGCTTAGGTGATCCTTCTGCCTCAGCCTTCCAAGTAGCTGGAACAATAGGCCTGGCTAATTTTTTGATGTATTGTAGAGATGAAGTCTTGCCAAGTTGCCTGGGCTGGGCTCGAACCTGTTGTCTTAGACAATCTTCTCACCTCAGTCTCCCAAAGTGCTGGGATTATAGGCGTGTGCCACCGTGCCTGGCCAAGGCCTTACTTTTTACAAGTAGTGTTTCTCTTAAAGCTTTTATGATCAAAGATGAGAGCCTATCTAGACATTCAAGTTCATCTAAATTATTTTTTGTTTCTTGCTGTTTACATTGCCTATTCTAATATATAATACCTTACTAATTTTTTTGTATGTTTTGATAAATGCTATGATATTTTCAACCTTGCCTTTGCATGAAGATAAACTTGAAAATTAAAGAACACTTTGCTTTTACAAAGCTTTCAAATACTATAAAACATAATTCATGTTTATACTGTAAGATCAAGAAAAAGGTTAATGTAATCTCTTACTGAACCTGTTTACTAATGTTTAAAAAAAACTTCACATTTTTATGTTATATTGTCACTGGATAAACAACTTATACCTGACATTTAGAAAAGGGGAATTGCTTATATACTTAAAATAGTATTTCCAATTATTAGCACACTATTTTCACACTTGTTGTTCTGATGTATTCTAGTGTAGGAGTATAGAAATTTTAGAGTGATTTGTTGACTTCTGGGGTACATTACTTCTCATCCATCACAAATTCCTCCTGCCTCTGGCCCCACACACTTCTTGGGTTCTTGTCCCAGATCTGTTGCTAGCTACTTATGTGGGCCACCTTTGGAGCTTTAGTTTTCTTTTTTCAACAGCTGAGGAGGTTGAACTGCACTTTCTCTGAATTCCATATTGAGAGGCAGGACAATGAAATGTTTAAGGGAATGAACTCCAAAGCCAGACTGTCTGGCTTTGAATTTTGGCACCACAGTTTATTAGCTGTGAGGCCTTGAGCAATTCACTTACCCTTTCTGTGCCTAAATTTTCTCATCCATATTTTAATTCCATGGTAAACCCAGCAAAAGTGTTTTTAAATCTTTCACAAGCCTTCACTTTAGCAAATAAACGGGGAATGCCCTACCTTGGTAGAGCAAGAGGAATGTAAAGGTTTCTTGTTCTCAGATTGCATTCCAGTGGATGTTTCTTTTTTTTTTTTTTTTTTTTTAGTTGGAGTCTCACTTTGTCGCCCAGGCTGGAGTGCAGTGGCCGTTCCCAGCCACCGCAGCCTCGACCTGCTGGGCTCTGGCAATCCTTCCACCTCAGCCTTCCAAGTAGCCGGAATTGCAGGCATGCGCTACCATGCCCGGCTGATTTTTTGATTTATTGTAGAGATGAAGTCTCGCTGCCCAGGCGGGTCTCGAACCCGCGGGCTCAGGCAATCCACTCACCTCAGCCTCCCAAAGGCGTGGGATTATAGGCTGAGCCACGGAGCCCGACTCCAGTGAATGTTTCTTTGTGGCAGGGTAGCTTTCATCTTTGAGCAGTGCACAGCAGGAGGTGATTGGAAGAGGCATAGTTTTTTAGGTTTTCCCTGTGTCCTAGTTTTATCTCACATTATACTTTTTATTTTTCTGCTTTGCTTGCCACTCAACTTGTATTTGCTAACCCTGCAAGGGACATGTTTCTCTGACTCTCAGCCCTCTTGGATTGCTGACAACAGACAACAATAAAAACCCCTCTTGTTCCCTCTTATCTTTTACCCAGGCTGTTTTGGAGGCAATGGCCATAGAGATAACACAACCAAGCATTTTCTGCCAGGACCTGCAGAGTCCAACCTCAGAGGAACCTGTGACTAGAACAGAGAAAGGAGAGTTTAACTATATGCTCGGTGAAATCAGAGGCAGGGATCACTAGTTTGCTAGAGCAGAAATTCCTAGTGAGCAATTTCTCACTGTCCTATGTCGTACCTTGGCTCGACCAGTTACATTCACCTCTGGTATCCATTTTTGTGTGCATTAACAGAACAAATAGCTTTTATCAAATAAGGATTAGGTGTGAGGCACTGTCCTAAGAACTTCAAATGTGTTTGCATTATAATCACCCAACACCTTATGAGATATATGTACTATTAAAGTTTCATTTCTTCCACCTGCTCCATTGTGGCTGTCCTATGCTCACTTTAAGACAGATCTCATGTTCCACTCATGTTCAGTAGAGCTGTGTATTAGTATATGCTCTACATTTGGGCCTCATAGGAACAGTTTACCATGCATCAGGTACAAAATTGTTCCTTGTTCAAGGACTAATTTTGTCATCTGTATGAATCTAAAGCTACAGTAAATAGTAAAAAAAAAAAATCATCATAGTGCTTTCTAAAATTCCCTGGTGTATTTAAAAGCTGATTTAGAGAGGTAAAATCACTTATTCCCTTAATTATTAATTTGTTCCATATATATTTTGAGTACTTTCTGTGTTCCAGGCACTTTTTTGGTACCAAAGTACAGAAATAAA